ATGGGAGAGGACAGGGGGACAACCAGGACAGCAGGGAGAGGACAGGGGGACAGAGAGGACAGGGAGACAACGAGGACAGCAGGGAGAGGACAGGGGGACAAGGAGGGCAGCAGGGAGAGGACAGGGGACAACCAGGACAGCAGGGAGAGAACAGGGGGACAACCAGGACAGCAGGGAGAGGACAGGGGGACAGCACAGCCTGCACAAAGACCTGCTGCTGCCTGCCTGGCCTCACTTCCTGGGTCTCTCCTAAGCTACTGTATGTCAAAAAAGCATCACCACGCCACACGCGTCCTTCAGAACTAGGTCATCTCCAAGCCGGAGGCTGAAAATACGGTGAACGGTCTCACAAAATTCAAGAGATCTGTATCAACCACGTTCAAAAACATTCCTCTTTAGTTCTGTAAAGCATCTACAAATAGGATCACAGTTACCAAAAAGCAGCTTAAACACTAGAAAATACTTAGGAAGATGTAAAAAAAGTGGCCGGATAAGTGTCAGAATCATGGTCCAACAAGTTGAGCTGCTCCACAAGCAATCAGTGCAGACTAACTAGTGCTGCTACATTATAAATGGCATCGTCTGTCTGCAGGTGATCATGCAGCTGCCACCCCCCCCCCCCACCCCCCAAAAGCAACATTCACTATCTACGCTGTGTCACCATGTGGTAATACTGATGCACGATTCTCTCCCACACTTCATCGCCAACCAGTTAAAAATTAAATAAAACCTTACATCCAGCCACTAATGAATCAGTAGATCAGGCAGAGACATTCCCAGGTCCACAAGGGAAGTTTAGGTGTTGCTTGAAGTCAAAGGAGAACAGTTCTGTGTTTTTTTAGAAGACACCTGAGATGGAGTTAACTCAAAGTGTATGGAAACACTTTGGCACACCCACAATGTGAAAATACAGATGCTTCTCTACTTACGAACGAGATACGTTCCGAGCGGCCGTTCGTAATTTGAAAGTCATTATTCGACATCATTTTAAGGGTATACACAAGTACAACTAGGATGCTGGGAGTACGCACGTTACGCTGCTGCGCGGCGGGAGTAGCGTCCAGAAGTCGTACTAGGCGGAATTGGTGCGCAGAAATTTTTTTTTATGTTGCAGACAGGAAACGGGAGCCCAATGAACACAATTACAGTCCTCTTCGTTCGTATGTCTGAAAGTTCGTAAATTGAAAGTTCGTAAGTAGAGGAGCGTCTGTATCCAACATTTAAGACCTTACTGATAAGCACCTTTAATTTCTAGAGAATGACCTCACTGATAAAAAGTGACGCCACAAAAAAAAGAACTTAATTGTAAAAAGAGAAGCACATGTGAAAGTGGGCAGAACACCACCTTACAGTCTCCCACAAATCAAGGTCTGCATTGCCTTGGACTCTTTACTCCTCCTCCATCTTTAACAGTGCATTTGAGACACCATAACTACAGACAGTTTGGGGAAATAACGGCAAACATCTACAGCGCTGAGGCTCAGCCTCCGGTTTCAGGCCCTTTTGGGAGGCCATCCTCACTTCAGCTCAGATAAGTCACCTCCAGCATACACGCTCGTTTTGCCATCTCCCGCAAAAGCACATGAATTATTCGGATAGCCGTGAACTGCCTGGAAACAAAGTCTTTTTCCCCCCCAACAAAGAGAGCGATTCCTCTGGTAAGGAAGTGTGGACTGCTATCGACTAGAATTGCTATCATTTTGCTGCTGGGCCTCTTATCTCAGTGTAGGATTATGAGGTCATGAATAATAGACATACAGTAACATAATAACTAACACAACCAACCAACCAACTAACTAATAAATATAGTATTTTGACCTCTCAGGACTGAAGACACATACATTCCTCTTCTCTCCATCAACACTATCCACCTGGCAACAGATCCACCAACCTACATACTTCCAAAAAACAATGGCCTGCATCCAAATCATCATCATCATCACTAAAAAGATGCAGTGCTCCAGCTGCCCGCCTCCATCAATGGTGCGCTCTGATCAGTGTGGGCGGGGCTCTGATCGACATGGGCGGGGCTTACCTGAGGCAGGGCGGAGCTCAGCTGCCTCTGCAGTGAATCACGGTCGTAGATGACGTCCTGCAGGTGCTGCTGAGCCAGCCCCAGGCTCTCCTGCGTCTCACGCAGCGTGTCCAGCAGCCGGTCGCGCTCATCCAGCATGTTGACCATCAGCTGCTCAAAGTGCGAGTCCGGGTCCGAGGCACTGCTCTGGGAGCCGCGCTGGCCGGCCGCCGTGTCCTCGCTGATGGTGGGCATCACCTCGCACATCATCTCGCCCTGGAGGGGGTGAGGAGCCACGTCAGGCCGAGGCGGGGGCAGATTCTCGCATACGGGACAGCAGGCGTGCAGAAAGGGTGGCAAATGATTCGACGTTCCTCTAATGAGACACATGCGCGTGCAAGTGGGTGTCTGCTAATCACTGAGAATATGAGATGAGATACCAGCAAAAATCCAACAGGTACCGTTTCAGGATAGTACAAAAGTACGACACAGAGCAGCAGGCTTTGTGGTACCAAAAAGGTCTGTGGTAAATCGAGATGCACTCCAGGATTACTAACAAAGTTTCAGGGTAACACTGTACCAGAATCACCTTCAATGCTACACTCTGACAAACAGCACTATATCAGGCTCCTCACACACTGTGTTAGATACAATATGAGATATCTGCATACACCTGGATAGACACATACAGGTAGATGGGTGTGTGTATGGAGGGGGGGGACTGGGGGTGCTTGAGCACCTGCTACTTTTGCAGAACAAAGGAATATGTCCCAAGTAACCCATTTCGAAATTTACCAAGGGGGAACCCCCTGACATCTCCCAGTCAGCAAATTTCAAGTCACATTTACCAAGAGGGGGCATCCATGGCAGGCAAATATTACTAGTCAAGTACCTACCCCTCAAAAAGTCTCCAATCTATAGGTCCAAGACAGACAGACAAAGACAGACAAACAGATAGATATATATCTTACTTTTCTAAATCAAGATCCAAGCACTCAACTACAGATTAGATTTCGCACTTGTGATGCTCTGTGGGTCAGCCAATTCTCACATGGCGAGTTACACAATGTGATGGATCTGTAGTGCACGTGTCGCACGGCCCCGATTCCTAAACGAGGCTGATCGGGAATCGAACATGCCTTCCTGAGGTACCCATCTCTCATCGTCGGTTCGGGTTAAGTTCGTCGGATTAACAAGAAGCACATTTGAGGCAAATTAAAAACGCCAGACAGACAGATGAACAATAAGAGTGAAATTCATTTAAAAACCTCAAACAACATTAAAAAGCAAAATAGTCAAGAGACACAGAAACTCCTGCACTTCCCAGAGCGGGTGCCGCTGTTCTGGGAGGCCAGCACTTTAAAAGAGTCCAGACGGACCATAAACCCAGTTAATGGGACGCTGTGCTCGCAGCCCAGCCCCCAAAGCCTAGCAGAACCAGCAACGAGCATCTCCACGCTGCCAGAGGCTGTCGACGCCAGCAGCAGCACCAAGCTGCATAGACTCTCGGCATCTGAAAAGCTCTGTGGCAATATGGCAGTGCAAGTTTGCAATGCAAAAAAGCAAAAACATCAATGTTCCCCGCATCCCCGTGTGCCAGAAGATAACAGCCGGGCTGTCTCTCGACACCGCCTGGGCCGGGAGATCGTGCTCTCCGCGTGGACCAGGCACGCCGCCATCCTCACTGTCCGCCAGCCAGGACATGCGGCCTCTGATAGGGGGGGCAGAGGGACACACGGCCATTAACCAAACACCTGCTGTGATGGGGGCATTGCAGCATGTGCCTGTGGATGTGTGAGTAGATGTGGCCCTGGGCTGGACCAAGGTGTTTCTCTGCCTCATCTTCTGTGCTGCCAGGGAGTGGATGCAGACCCTCCAGTAACCAGTAAATGGATGGATGGATGGATGGATGGATGACTGGATAAACTAGCATGCAGGTATTTGCCAGGTATTACAATTACAATATCTTCTGTTTATCAAAATACTACCTTATTAATCTGGTGGGAATGAAGCGCTAAAGTGAAATCATTCACCTTTCACCTTACACACAGTAGAAAAGTCAGAAGCATTCTCCAAAATTTCCACCACAAGAGCTAAAAGCTGAGTGACAGAGTTTGACCCTTGGGAAGTCGCTCATCCGTATCAGCATGTAAGTTAGTAACACACAGCCCATGAGAGAGAGTCTAAACATAACTGAGAACTTCAGACCAACAAGCTGCTGCTTGCTTACAAGGACCCCCCCCCCCCCCGCAGAATTGCCAGTTAAACACAACAGGGACACCACAGAACCACACCGGGTGGTAAGGTGTCATTAGCAGGAAGGGAGCTGGTCACACCTTGGTAACACTTTACTTCATCATAATGCATTATAGACGCCTTCATAATGCATTATAATACATTCATAAAGTAATATACACACGGCTATAACTATTTATAAAAAGGCATAACACATAACAACCAATTCATTACACATTATGACTGCCTTATGAAACTCTCATCTATAATATACTATAGATACATTTATAATGCAAGACAAAGCATCCTTAATGCTTATACTGACCAATATAATGCATTATAAAGGTAGCTATAGTGTGTTACAGATGAGAGCTTCATAGAGCATTCAATATGCATAATACACATGGGTATAATGTGTTATGCCTGTTTATGAATAGTTATAGCCGTGTGTATAAGACCTTTATAATCCATTCATAATGTATGTATAATGCATTATACAGTACATGAGTGCTTTAAGTACCCATGTTACCGAAGTTTTCTTATCATCATCAAATAAAATTTATAAATACGTATTAATCGAGCTTTTATGTGGTACTGCCCAGAATCGAAACCCAGAGAACATAGCCTGTTATCTGGCTCTGTTGGCCCTAACGGTACCAAATGAACACAGCAGGAACACATTAACAGAAAAGTGAATGTGCAGTTAATGTTTGGCAGGGACACTCTGTACATTTCTGTGGCAGTTACGATTTGTGCTGATACCAAATTAATAATAATTGCCACCTATGTTCAAATTTGAAAAAAGTAAGAATCTTGCCCGTAATGTGAAAAAGAGGGCACACGATGTTACGGGGATGAAATGGGGGACATCGTGGACACGTTAATCATCGTATCGAAAACAAAACGAGTCCGCTGTGTGTTAGAGGGAATGGTGCTAGCCCAGAAGGATCGGCCCGTCTAGATTAACGAGCAAAGTGGCGATTCTGAATGTGACTCGGTTGGCCGGCCTGGGGGTAAGAGCCAGATTTTTTAAACAGATTAAGACTGATCTTATCGAACCGTATTAAATTTGACAGTGCACCTGATGTAGTACTGGCCTTACACAGTGTGGTCAGTAGCCATTGTATTAGGTATACTTGCCAATACCGGGTCTGTTTTGCCCATAGAGAAACCTGGATTCTTGGTGGCATGGATTCAAAAAAATATGGCAAAGGGATGATCCCTTACAGACTTTACCACATTTTCGCACATGTCCCCTTCGACCTCCCCGTTTTCTCCACTGACTGGATCTTCTTGTATATCACACCATTCTCTGTAAACTCTAGACACCAAACTGCAAGAAAACCCCGGGATGGTGCCTGTTTCCAAGACGCTGGTACCACCACGTCTGACACCAGCCATCACACCACATTTTACATCACGTCCATCATGCCGCGTCGACCATCATAAAACTTAGTCAAACAGTGACTGAACCTCTTGTCCCTGTCAGCTTGCTGTATATATTCAGTCGCAGCCGCATGATTCTGTTTGAAACAGAGGCACCGTGTGGCTCTGCAGGTCAAGGCACTGTGCCTGTGATCAGAAGGTCGCTGGTTCAAATTCCACGGCTGACAGAGTGATGTCACCGTTAGCAGCCCTTCAGCAAGGCCCTTAACCCCAAGTCCTCAAGGGACGGCGGCTGACCCTGCTCTCTGATCCACACTTGTACTTTGCTTTGGACAAAAGCGGCTGCTAAATAAACAAACGCAAACGAGCAGACTGTCTGCAGGTGTATCTTATAATGCGGCTGCTGGGTGTATGTGCACCGCATCATCATTAAGTCGAGCAAGTTACATCACCAATTCTCTAACAAAGCACAAGCAATGAATACGGGCACAATGCAAAATTAGGAGGTGGCACATAAACATACAATAATACATAAAGCAGCAGTTGCCATGGTAATTAATAGAATACCATTTACTGCTGACTGTTCTAATACGGAAAAATACCTAATTCCACATTTTTTTGTTCAAATGTTTCACGGACCACAATTATTAAATTACTAAACAATTATATGCACACATACAATTCTACAAAAAAAAAAAAAAAAAAAACAACAGCACAACTGCATCTGCATCTTTATTCGGCATTTCAGGCACACATGACACAAATTTACATGTAAATTGTGCATAATGATCGCAATCATTGCACAACAAAGCTAAGGGGAAATAGGAATGGGGCTGAGGAGCTGAGGGCACTGCGACACCAGCGACACAGGAAATGCAGCAGAAGCGCTGGTGTTCCATCGCGGTGCCATATGCCAACTGGTGAATAATTTAAGCGTGCCGGATGCAGGGCCCCCACCCCTGTCACCACACGTCAGTCCCGAAGCACAGCCTGATGTGGGAATCACGGACACCTGCTGGAAACCTGAGCTTCCGGGTGCGGCTGGAGGGGGCGGGGGTGGGGGAGGGGTGCCGCACGATGCCAGGAACACCGGGGGATCCCAGGAAGGGCCACAGACACACCGAGTGGCCCAAGAGGCACGACGGCCAGCGCCTTCCACCGCCAGCCACCAGAGCCTCACTATGGACTTTCTCATCCTGTACACATTTAGGGAACGAACCCAGGCAATGCTGAGCAGAACTTCTGGGGGGGTGGAGGGCACGGCCACTCGGGAAGGCTGCCGTTAGACCTTCAGCGTATGGCTCAGCAGGTCAGGACTCCATGTTCATGATCAGAAGGTCGCCAGTTGGAATCCCTTTGGGCCCAGGAGCAAGGCCTTTAACCCCCAGTTCCAGGGGGCGCTGCATGCTGGCTGACCCTGTACTGTGACGTCCAAACTTCCTCTCACCTGTATATGTGTCCCATGGAGTGCAAGGGAGGATAGGGGAAAAGAAAATTTTCTCATCACAGCATCTGTATTCTGTGCAGAATGCACACACCTCAACCTATGTCCCTGTCTGCACCGAGAATAAAAAAGACAGACCCACCGGAGCCAGGACTCAACCCATCTGCTTGGGGTCAATTAATAAAAGATTAACTGACATTTCTCTGTATATTTTTAACCAGTCAGACTAGCCGTTTTATAGAACATAGAGGCGCCTGGCCCTTCACAGAGCAAGCAGTAACCCGCACAACAGTCCAATAAAACTGATACAGTCTCCAGACTCATCAATGTGGAGCCTCTGAAAATACTGACATCCATCCATCTCCCTTAACTGCTCATCCAGTACAGGGTCATGGGGGGAGGAAAGCAGAAACACTTGGCAGGACACACCCTGGATGGGATGTCAGTCTATCAGACTCTACACACAGAGTGGGGGCAGGAATCATACCCACAATGCAATAGGCTTGAGTCCACTGTGCTGCCCACCGAGTCACCCAGACAATTCACACATTGTTCAGAAACCAGAGAGTGTTTTTTTCCAACTCTAAACATTTCAGACGTTCTACGCTCTGGCTCTAGGGAAAACTGAAGTGGAAAAACTTTGTTGAACTTTACAGAAGCCTGACAGCTACTCTTTTATCCAAGAGCAAAAATAAAATATTTAATCCGTTCTCTAGATGCTACTCTTTAATGAAAAGGATCCTGTAACTGAAAATGTTTAAAAAGACAGAAATGATGGTTTTAAGGGGTGGCATTTAAAAAGCGCTTCTTCAACAGAGTGCAGATGCTTTCCATATAAGGAAATACATCGGTCCTGCTTTTGCGATGTGTTCAGTCCTCGATCTAGATGTGGTTACGGCCACAGGAACCTGAACCAACTACAGCAGCAGGAGTGCTGTCAGTTTTAAAAAATGAACACCATAAGATTTTTTCAGAAAATGTTTTCATCATTCTAAATTCTTCTCATAAGACAATTCAGCTTTAAGGGAAAAAAAAACAGCAGCCATAGTGGTACACAGTTGAATTATTAGTTTAAACCAAGATATGTATTGCCATACGAATAAAAGGAACCTGTAGATGATGGACTTAATCACCTTGTGATTAAGAATAACACCGCAATTGTATGACTTTACTTGCATAGAAAAATTAATCTGTTTTGTGTTAATACCTTAAAACTACTGTATACTGTCTTATGTAGATGTCAGCACATGTTTATGACTGAATGAACTGGCCTGACAGCCTGAGTTCCAGGTACAACAGAGCTTACACTGCATGGCCCCATGTGAAATGTAGAGGCAGAGATCTATGATGTGGCACATTTACTTAGCATGCATTTTCTCATCATGTTTATGCAGGATTTCTTAATTCTTTCGAGCAGTAATTTAGTTCCTGTTACAATATTCCCCAGCCGAGAAAGGTCCTCCCCTCCTATCAAGCCACCATGGTAACCGACTTGGTGGTTGACTTGGAGACCACCCAATGGGATGTCCCCTGCTACCCATCACTAGCCGGTCTGCAGAAGCAGCAAATCCACAGCAGCCACCTCCATCCAGGCACAGAGCAAGACTGCCATTCCAGCTCCCCATTTTTTTCTTCCACTTCCACAGGTTTGTTTTTGGGAATCATATCGAACCGGGACCTTAGTGAAAAACAACTCTCTGCAGACAGTACTCGACAGAGCCCCTCAGAGTGGGAAGGTCATACTGTGGCCATTACTAAACATTGCCTTGATCCTAAACCTGAATGATTTGACTAAATGATGACTTGAACTTGCAGAAAAATAGAAATTAAAAAAACATTCGCATGGACTAATGTGACTCAAAAATCATACTTGGGAAGGTAACAAAGTCAAATACTTCAAATTAATATTAGATTGCAAATTATTGGAACTGGATCTTTTCTGAAAATGAGAAATTTACTTAAATGCCACAGCTTATCGGATGCATATTGGACAACTGGAAAATTAGTGAAAAAAAAAAACTAAGAGAAGTCAACCCCCCCTCCCTCCCGACGCCCCCTTTCTTGTCATGTTTGAGCTGCCCGGCTGGGTCTCGGGGGTGGGGGAGGGAGTCGAGTTTCATCCCGCATGATGTCATTATCGCTCGGGATGCCTGTGGGAAGCCTCGCGCAGGGCGCCCCGGCGACATCGCCACGGTGCCGCCTGGAGACCCACGGAAGGCAAGGTCACCGAGAGTCGTCAATCAATGGAGATTTAATAAAGACCGGAATAAAGAGTAACGTTATGGCCAGTCTACACCCGATTTGCAGCAGAGCATGAGGGTCAGTGTCACTGGGCATCAAAGGCATATCTACCGATTCCATTTCTATAGGCACCGGTATCCATCCATATATTGCACAGGCTTAAAAATCATATTTTGTATGAGGTTACACTTGATCAGCCACAGGTATTTTAGCAAACCAAGATAACACTAGAAATTAAAATTAACTTTATTCTAGATTTTACGAACATTCCCCGGAAACACTCTCCAGGATATCCACAACCCCGTGCACATAACTTGCACCACAGAATTATTCCTCAGCAATAATACGTACATTACTGTTGCCTTTTAAGATGCTTTCATTAATATTTCAACAAGCAGGATAAATCAATAATTCATGCATAAAAACCAAAGGAAAAAAATGCAATCTATGTCATAAAGCTAATTAAGCGGTAATGCTACGGTTACTTTGTTTCAAGGGCGCCACACATGCGTTTGCGTGCACATTTCCGCATGTTTCATTCATCTCAGGGCATGCAAATGCTGTCATAACCCACAGACCACCACATACAGAAGGGGTGGTTACTTCTCGTTTCACGTTGACATTTATTAAAACACCAGTGATTCTCGCCAACATACACCCTTTATATCTGAAATACCACCTTCAGGGTGCTTTTATATTAATTGAGGAAAAACCCGTCCCCATTGTCTCAAATGCATGACATCATTCTTTTTTTTCCCCTCTTTCCCCCTCCACTCTTCTACTTGAAAACAGAGATGCACACAGCTGTATTTCTCATAATTTTGACCATTATCTCATTTCGGGCAAGAAACAATACAGCAATTACATTTACACGGAGCAATGCCACTCCGGCACCTCGCGCATCTGTACAAGTTTCCCTTAACAGCGTCCATGCAGGGCGGTCCGTATACATCACCTCACAGGTAGGCGAGCCATCATTCACAAATATTAATTAGCAGCTGGGAAAAAAATACATACATTATTAAAAAACAGACTAGACATACTTACAGTTTACTTATATATCCGTGCCCACTGTAGATGAACGACAGCCGCAGTCTCCGAAATCACACAGCTGCCCGCTCCGGGATCATCGGCGTTAGAGGGCTTCACTCGCCAACCGCCGCCACACGCAAGCCGGGCTTTCTGGGGAGGGCACCGGGGTTAAATCCACGCCTGGCATTTTTGCAAAAAACTTAAAACTGGCCAGCTCGCCGGTGACATCCCGTTTTCCAAAAATACCCATTGGTGAGAAGATGGCACGTTGCAATCTGTGCCTCGGAAAGCGCACCCCGGTAAAGACCATTGTCAGCGCCCGCGGAGGGGGGGCTCGTCTTAAAGTTGCAGTTGTGCATTTTTTTAATTCATTTTTGTTTCTTTGAGGATACTGGCACTGTTTGGCCATGCAGATTAGAAAGCATAATTTATTTTCTCCAAACAAGCACTTTTGAAATAAGTGTTCGCAATGAACAGGTACCCCTGCAAGACGCACTGCTCCAAATGAAAATAAAATCAGTAATATGAAAGAATAAAAGGCTTGCCTTGTCACCCAAATGTAGCTTTGATATACATGTTGACAGGACTAAATAAATATTCCCGAATCCTAATTATGCCAAAATGTATGATTTGCGGGGTTTAAATTAGCCAGGATATAGACGGGGGGCATAAAGCCCCCGGTGCCCATGCAGCCCCTGCCTACCTGCCCACTCACCTCTGCCGCTCACATGAGTGGTTCCCGCCGAGCCCGAAATAAATGTGAAGTAATCGCTCTTGCCTTGGCCGTTACACTCCCATTTTAAGCGGGCGGATAGCGATTTTATGACCGTGAAACTCGGACTCCTCAGAAGCGCTGTTTTGGTTTATAAGATCACTGTAGTTACCACCAAACATAACCCCAAGGACTACCTATATGCTTATCCCCCCGGCAGTGATGGGACGGCAGGTGTTACTCAATTATCTGGGCGTAATTGATACAGCACAGGGATCACGGGAAAGCCCAGACAGCAAGGGCTCCCATCGACCACCTAGTGTTAATACTGTGTTAATACTTCAATACAATGATTAACTATACGATCATGCATACATAATTCGCTGAGCAAAGGTATTAGTCAAATGTGTTTTTTATAAACCATTTCGAGTATCTAAACTAATATATAATAGTTCCTTTACTTATACATAAAAACACCAACACGTACAGTACATACGTTTTACCCGCCTTTACTGAATATAAATCCGCAATTAGATATAAATGCTGCAGAATCTCTTTATAATAAACGATCTGCTAGATGTGTCTGTAGACGACATTTGCACCGAAGTGTGGATTTAATGATTAATAGTATTCGTTTTTATGTCTTTTGAAAAAGTTACTGGGGTTACATTGTTGGAAATTGACCATGAATAATCATTTGACCATGCTATCCAAGAAATACACGCAAAAAAATGCCTAAATCAGTTGACGACAGCAGCTGCTATTTTGTGACGCGTTTTCGAATGCAAATCAATGCATATATAGAGTAAACAGTCACTAGTTAATTATTCGTTCTGCATTTAAGATTTTATATCAATAGATCAAATAGTAATTCCTTAAGTTGCCAGGACGGGAAAAAAAAAAACAAATAAATGGTGGTCTGATTTTATTAGATTTCTCTGATAATGCTTTATTACTCGTTTAAGAACCACATTCTGAGTTTGAGAACCGGTTTTGTGGTCCTGGTTACCTACTATCTTGTTCCTGGGTTCACGCTCTTGATTAGTTGGAGTTTCACAGCTGGTGCAGTGGGTCACTGTTGTCTTCTGCACATTTAGTCTAACTGAACAGTCAGGTGTCACTATGCTGCAGAGTGAGTTGTCTTGTTAGGTCTTTCGCTCTCCTTGTGTCAAAGCGTGAAGAGGTTAAATGAATGACAAACCACACTCTTTTTTTCTAAGACAGGTTTTATTTATAAGGGCTGCAGGTTATGTTTCCAACAGCCAGGATATGAGGACAGACGTTGCCTGTCAGCTGCAGCCATGTAGACATTATAAGCGGCTCCCGGTGCTGGGTGCACGGATGTCCTTTGCCATAAAAAAAGAAGAAGAATTGGTTAAAATAACACAGAGAAGAAGCTCATAGTGTTGCCAATTACCCCCTTATAGTTAATGATAGTTACCCTTTTGTTGGCTATTCGCAGCCTGCCAAGGATTATGGCACGAGCTTGTTTGAAGTGCTTCTTTCCTTGGCTGATGAGCCTCTGTGGAAAGAAAATAGTATTTATCAATATGACATTGAATTACAGGAATATTATGGCATAACACAAATAATTGGCTAAGACAAATTCACAATATGTGCAAGCCTGCAGGAAACCAAAAACTCTAAAGGTGACTGACATGTTAGTTAATGTACTCACTGAGAAATCCTGGACGAGGGCCTTTAATTTTGGGCGAGTGCTTGGTCGCTCTGTCACCCTGCAAAACAGGACTCAAACATCAAGAAGGAGATATGGGCACTCACTGTGGCACCCGCTGCTCTAACTGTACCCTATTCATGTCATAGCTGTAGCCTCGTGTGTCACACCCCGCTCCGTCCGATCCTAATGTGTGCCACACCCCCTCGTTAACCTCATGTGGAATCCCAGTGTTTTACAGCTGTTTTGGATTGTTGTCATTAGTTCAGTGTATTTAGTCCGCGTTTCCGTTTGTATCCCCAGTTCGGTCATTGACGTTGTTATGTGGTGTGCTTTGTGTTTTTGGCATTAAACTCCGTATTCCCCGATCCCTGGCTTCCGTTCGCCTGATTCCCCGATCCGTGCTGCACGCGACGTGACATCGTGTGCATTCTTAGCTGACTAAGTCACTCAGAGTGTCGGAATTAGTGAATGTCCTGGACGGTATCAGAGCTTTACCTGAGAGCCGTGCTGGTTACGCTCCTTGGGCTGGATTTTAGTTCTGATGTCAGCCCAGTGATAGGTCACCAGGACTCCATCCAGCCCCAGGCCCATGACAAAGGCCCAAGCTGCCAAGTCCGTTTGCTGTGCAAAAAGTAACATTGTGACCGACGAGTTCAGCAGCTGAAGGAGACGGCCGCCCTACTAAATCCTATGCCATACTACACCGCTATCCAGCAGCGTATTAAAAATTACAGTGTGAGCTGTTTGAAATAACTGCTGAAAAGTGGAGAAAATGGCATAAGGGAACAGAGTAAAAGTGACTATTTACCACGCGATTGTAGAATGGGGTGTGCTCAGCAATGTCCACGATGCTTGTGGATGCATAGCATACCACCTTCCCCGCGACCAGCTGCAGACACAGACAAACAATGACTTTTCAATTAATCTCACAAGCCCAGAATGCCCAGAATCTCACAATGCAAAGAAAGGACAATAATGCTATATTTTCTGCTACCAGTTTGCAATGTTCAAGGCTGCCAAAACTGGTATGAAAACAGTGTAAGTCAACAAAATGAGCAGCACCGAAGCGTCACCTTGATGGTCGTGCTTTCCCGGGTTAGTCTCGTGTGCACGGGAAAGCCCTTCAGAAGAAAAACAGATGGAGGTCCTGAGTGAATGGGCAGGGTAGTTTCTATACAAGACTGAAAGAGCCCCGAGGAGGGAACACTCACATTAGGGCTCAGCTCAGTCATCTCCGCTTTTTTCTTTGCCAAGAGCAGGACTATGCTGATGCTGTTATCTAGTGAGACTTCAAACACCTAAGACGACACAATACATTTGTAAAGTAAATAAAAACCAGCTGAGAATTAGCACAGCCATAATTACATTTTTAATGGGATGCTGGTCTCCATCAGTATCAGGCTCCACTAGAGACTCCACTGATACTGAGTGGTCTCCATCAGCATTAGGGTCATCTACAGACTCCAGATGCTGTTGGTCAGGAACAGAATATTTAATGTGTGAATTCTGTTGTATTCATGGTTTTCTTAACTCTTAGGTTTTAGTATTGCTCAATGACATTAAATGTCATGTCAGCTCGTGATGCTGTTGCTAATTCTTTACAGAATTGCTTTATTCTAAGCTGTTGGACCCCTATATGAAATATGAAATTTAACTGAACTGGGCTGACACAGAGATCTGCATGTACAAGGAGTGCCCTTATATGCAAAAATGCTTCACATATTTAATATATACACATATATTTAATCAGAACATGAGATGACACGATTAAACGTTAATCCGTAAGCATTTTCTTAGCATTACAAGTATTTTGCACATAATAAGAAAGTAACTATTCAGGTACCTTCCTCCGGCTCCGCCCGTTCTCGAAGCCGCCGGACGAGGTATGCCGTCCCAGCGGCCGCAACCACCAGTCCGGTTGCGCAGAGCAAATGAGTAGCTTTGACGTTCTTAAGGATGTTTAAGATGGCCATCGAGATAATTCTCCTGCATTAACCAAGACGAAATGAACACTGTAACGTTGTGTTGCGATTGTTGTTGTTTAGGTCTAGAACTCAAGCGTTGCGTCTTTTAAATACGTCATTTCAAAATGAGGAAAATTTTTTAAACAATTGTATCACTTTGAAGGGGAAATACGACATTGACACCTAAATAATTTCCTTTGCATGGCTTTAAACTTGCCGCCATTTGTACACCGTATTTTAAACATGCAGAAGTCTTTACGGCACGTTGCAGAAGCGAGGGGATCCTTATACGCTGAGTGAAGGATTATGTAATGATTTCTCCACATGTAGTCAAATTGACACAGGTTTAAGTGCACATCCTGCTACTGCTATTCAGACCCCAGGATGAAATGCCCTGTGCATGGTGCCCCTCCCCATACCACCCATATACACAGGGGCGGATTAACGCACAGGCTAGATATGGCTTAAGCCTAGGGGCCCCACGTGTGCCAGCCTGCAAGGGGGCCCCCATTGGCGCGGAGGGGGGCGGGGTTGGGGGGCCCACAGACTACTGTAGCCTGGGGGCCTCTGTACACCTTAATCCGCCCCTGCCTATACAGGCTTACATTCATTATTAGGCAGACCAATCAAATATAGGCTTACATTCATTTTCAGGCAGGTCAGCCATTTATGATCATTAATTTGTAGACCACCCATAGGTAGGCTTGCATTCATTAATAGGTAGACTACCAATACACAGTGCTCACAGAAAATCTTGGGATGCTTGCTTCAGTACACATACTGCATTATTATTTTTTAATGTAAATAACTTCCATTTGTTTTTATAAAGTATTACAAATGTTAGAATGAGCCAGCAGTTTTAAGTAAAATATTAATTTCATATTGTAATAAATTGAAGCCCAAATTATAGTTCTAAATGAGCTGCTCTGAGTTGTAACACTTCATTGACAAGCAGTCTCATCCGGTGCTTTTTAATTAGTAAGACCTTTGCAATAAATAAAACACCAAACCTTTGCATTTAGTATCCATTTGTGGGCAGGAGACTAGGATTGCAATTGGTAGCAAAATGGCAGGAATAGAACTGAATGAGTCAATTGCTAAAAAGAAAATGTCTGAGTGGAAGATATGTAGAAATATGTATAAGATTGCCTGTCAATGGACATTGTTATGAAACCAAAATATTTGCAACATCTTTACAAAATGAAGCAAGCATCCCAAGACTTTCGGTACACCGGTTGCACTGTGCCCCTCCGTATACCGTTATCCTGTGTATTTGTACTGTGATCATGCCCGGTCGCATGGTGTCCCTCCGCATGCCATAATACAGAAGCTTGGAACTCAAACACCTTTTAACTTGACCAACTCGGACATCGAATGAGTCTGTGAATTGCTCACGTATTGCCGATACCCGATTCGTCAAATAGGTCTGGATAAAATGCTAATAGCTAATAAAACGGAATAAAACTGTACCTCATCCAAGATGGCATGCTGATCTCCATAAACATCAACTGCAGTCTCCAGGTGCTGCTGGACTGCATCATCATCTGGGTCAACTGCAGCCTCCAGATGCTGTTGGTCTCCATTACGGTCAACTGGAGACTCCAGATGCTGTTGGTCTCCATTACGGTCAACTGGAGACTCCAGATGCTGTTGGTCTCCATT